CCGTTTTTTCTCAAATTAATTTGGGAAATTAACGGTAGGTCGGCGCCTGTGAGACTCAGGTTAGGCTGCCCCGCAGTACGCGCCTGCACTGCAGGCCAGATGTTGCCTACCTACAGGCGCTCAGAAACCTCGCACAGGCTGAACTTGGTTCTTTCGTGACGGCAAATGGCGGGTGTACTTTTTGGATGATTCCTCTTATCAAAGGCACAACAGTTGTGTTGCGTCATGAAAATGTTCCTATGTAGCAAAACGTGATCCACGGCGTCATAAAACATAAAATTACAGAAGGTTTATCCCTAAATTTCCCCAGAAGTATGGCCAGTTTTTTTTTCTCTTTTTAATATCTCATGAAATCGCGATCCTGCCATATGTTGCAAGGTTCTCAACAGCAGCCATCTGACTGCCCTACCCTCCCGGACAGAACGAAGAATAAGGACCCTGGCTCAGTCTCGTGATTTGAGCTCATTCCCTTGCCCCTTTCTCCGCCCATTTCCTCATCGTGAAAAATGCCGTGTCCCTTCCCCGCTGTTTCGTCGTGCGGGGACTGTAGTCTAGAACAGCTACTGCACTCGCCCAGCCGATCCGTCAAGTCGGGTCATTTCGAGACAGCGGCGCCTAGTGGGGCTCCACATTCCAGCCCGTACACTGCGAAAGACCAAAAAGGCCCCACCCGCGTTCGATGGTATATTTTTTTACCATTCATAATTAAGATTTTTTTTTATTTACATCTTATTTGAGGTTTTATTCTGGGTGGATGTTGCAGATAAATAATTATGAAACTCTCACCGTCTGCCACAGTCAGGTTCCCATAGGTACAGTTGCAGAGGACTGGTGCGTCGTCCTGGCACCAAGTCGAGCAGTTTCCGCCGAGGAACGCGTAGTGCTCGAGGTAGTGCGCGGGCTCTGCAACAGAAAAGCATATCTAGACAAACGCCGGTCAAAAGTACAAATATCCTCAAAAACATTCAGTAATAGCAGTGACAGCAATGATCGGGTGAAGATGAAACATCGTTCAACTTCTGTTGATAAACAGGTGCTTTGCAGTTTCTGCTTGTATATGACGAGCAAGGTGGCTTTCAATAATGTGAACTATCGGTGTTCTGACAGCGAAGTAACATCAATAACCTACGCCAAGCTAATAATGGAACAACAAGTCACGACCATTGTGCAATGAAAGCAATCCACTTTATCCTTCTGATGCTTTTTCATAGTGCACAGAACACTGCAGCAAGGGTTATTTTCCGATAAAACTGTTAAGTCATCTCTGGCAATATTTTCCTTCTCGTGTTTTTCCTTGCATCTTTGGTTACGGAAGTGGTAAATTAACCGCTGCCATGCATTTTTCACCCCCCGCTGAGCAGTAGAGCCAGGCAATTCTCCGGGCTTGGGGTGGGGGTGGGGGTTAGATCTCACCCGCAGGCCTGGGGGTTCTACAAGGCGGTTGGGGTTAGGGCCTCGTCCTTAGACAATGAATCTGGTTGCGATCCACCGGCTGTGGGCGGAGTGGGGCGGAGGCTGATCAGCCGGGCGCGCCTGGTCCATTAGCTGAAAGCCCGGAGCCCCCTCGCCTCACGGCCAAGCCGACAGCAGGGCGGCGCGAATCCGTCTTCATTCGATTTTAGTGAGCACAGATATCGGGAGCAGCGCCCGCCGTTGCGGCGCGGCGCGTGGCAGCGCGTGGCGAGGCCCACGCGCGCCGCACGACTTTGCCACATTGCGAATCAGATCACGACGCGAGCCGCAGCAGCCGACGCGAGGAGGGGACGAGCCCCGCCTTGTGCACCCGGCCGGGACCCGGGCCCGAGGCAGATAGAGGACGGCCCGCGCGCCGTGGGCCTTTTTTAATTAATCCCCCGGGCAAGGCGCGCGCCACTGCTGGGATTAGGGGTGGGCCGCGCCGAGCCCGCTCTGGTGAAGCGCGGCCGCGCGCACGCGGGGATGGATGGTAGCGGCCCCACGCCATCTGGCGTGGGGAACACCAGCTTAGAGCGAGAGAGAGAGAGAGATGAAGAGAAAAATAAATGACGGACAAAATTAGTCTCGTTGAGCGTAAGGATTCACAGAGTAGTGCGTGGGCCCCTGCTGGAGCGGTCTAAGGACACCGAGAGAATCCGCTCCGACTTTCTAAGCTGGACTCTATCTTCTACACCAGTAGCAGCTCTCAAAAGCCCCACCGTCTCGCCGCTGACCAACTTTGCGCGCAGGTTGGTCGTTCGTTTTGGTAGAAGCCTGGGTCAGCCGAGCTGGTTTTATGTGCCCCGGTCCTGGGGCCGTGAGAGGGCGGCAGGCGGGACCGCCCGGCTGCAGTGCAAACTTGGCGGAGAGCGCCTGCAGGGCGGGGGTAGGCCGGCCGCCTCACAGCCGGGCGTGGCGGGACGGCCTGCGGGCCCCTGGCCGGCTGACCGCCAGCCACGAGCCTCGCCCGCCCCGCGTACAGAGGGTGTTCCACACTTAGGCTGCCGTTTTACAGAAGGTATTATCAAAGTTGTTCGAAGTATTTTTTTTTCTTTTTAGAGTTTCTCTACTAAAAACACTAATTGTACACGAAAAAAAAAATCGAACAAAAATCTCGAGAAAAACTCTTGCGAAACAACTAGCGAAAACATCGAGAAATACTTGCCAAATAACTCGTGGATACTCTCGAATACTCGCTGATACTCTCTAATACTCGCGAGTTCTCGTGAAACTCGTTCTACATCTACTTGGAGAGTGGGGGACCCCTTGTTTTTTTTAATCAGATGATACTTTCTATTAGAATAAATCCGTGACTTAGAGGGACGCTTACAGTATTTTGATTGCATTGCCCCTGTGAGGGGACTACAAGTCCGTTAATGCACTTGTGAATTAGTTTCTCGAGCAGTTTTAATGCTTTCTAGCTGTCTAGGCCCTAAACGATTAGCAGCTCCTTTGAAAGTTTAGACATAACAACCTTGTTTATCCAGTGTAATTGTAACCGTGTAACAAGTTATGGAATGGCGACGTTATTACATTTTTATTCAGTGTGATCATAAATCTTTCTATTTTCTACCCGCTACCTTGATGAGGACGCCCTACACAGGCCGCCCCCTGAGGAGGGGCGAAAGGCAATCATCTGCAACATTTCGTCTGCTGTGGTGAACCGCCTCCTCAAGTCGGCAGGGGCGCGGCGGATAAGCATCTACATCACGTCGCGCGTCATACTGGGCGTTTAACTCACCCCACCCCCCTCTCCCTGCCCCTTCCCAAAGCCACGACTCCACCCTCGCCATAGTTCCTGTGGCACCCCTAGGCCACGTACAAGCTGCCCGTCCACCCATTCCTCGACACACTTAAAGACGACGGTGCTCAATGCAAAGTTACCTGCTCCCGATCTCCCGGTATCCGCCGTGCCCGGCCTGACAGCTATCCTATTCTGTGGCATTTACATGACATTGATTCGTTGTAAAGTAATAAAGTACAAATTCTTTTTCTGTTTGTACTTATAAGGTTTTAGGTAGGTTTATTATTGTATTTAGGAATTATTGTTTTCGGTTAACAACAGTCCGATTCTTGATCAAAATTTTGTACGACGATTGAGGTTTGCCATGCCCGTTATTAAAATAGCTGTTGTTTACGAGCTCGTTCCGCTGTAATCACGGACGGCAGGTTGTGGGGGTGGGGTGTGCCCGAGGTCAGCTAGGTTAGCCCCGCGATGGGTGTCGAATCGATGTGCGGATAACACGCCTGAGTATCGCGCTGCGCCCCCGGAGGCATCGTTCTGGCCGCCACTGCACTCTGTGTGTGTGGTGGCTGAGTGCAGCGTGTGTGCCATCCAGCTGTCACTGGCAGGCCAACCGAGCGCGGCCGGTTCAGGGATTCGCACCAGAATATTGCTGTGCTGCAGCAGGTCTGATACCACGTGTGCGATTCTGCGTGTGGGGGGGGAGCCCGTCACGCGCCGCCGCCTACTAAAATAGCCATAAATCGCGAACTGCCTGCATTCACATCTCCCAGAAATCTTTTCTTTGACGCTTGAAGATAAACAGAAACATTTTCCTGCCGAGCTGCTACTATATAGAGTGCTCGTTGCTCTCTGCCGCTCTCTACTGCTCCTGCCCTACAATATTTTCTTAATTTACTGATAATGTTTTGAATGTATCGCTTGCTGAATGTCATAATTGTCATACTTCGTTATTTTCCTTTTACACAGTTTTTTTGTGAATAATTCACTTTTATATTTTTTAATATTTGCAAATATGTTCCGCGAATTTACAAACTTTATTTGTCGTATTACGAATTTTCTCGTATTTTTACGCAATCCCCTCATCAATCTCCAGGGAAGTCTTGATCGATTTTGCAGAAAAAAAAAATCAAACAGAAAAAATCAGAAAAAAACCTAAGCTTACGCTTACGTGGAAGCAGATGATATTGCATTCTGTTAATTTTCTGTTAATTTTATAATCGCTAAGGATAAAATTGAAAGTGATATTGTGTATTGTTACAAAGGGAAGAGTTTTGAATGTACTTGAAAATCTGAAAATTGCGTGTAGTTTTTGTGGATAAGTGAAATGTGTCCGTGGTCGGGTTGGTTCGTAAAGGAAGTCATGCGCATGTTGGTGGTGCAGCGTAGCACAGTGTGTAATCTCCTGGGTGCTGTAATATATAGACGTAAATAGTGTCTGAACTTAATTACGTTGCATATGTAATACAGGTAATTACAGGTAATTACAGGTAATTACAGGTAATTA